TTCCTCCACTTGTTGGGGGGGGGGGGGGGGGGGGTTGAAAAACGAAATTTTAGACAAATCTAGCATTATAGAAAAAGAAAAGAATTCTTTATATTTTTCTGTCATAAATCAAAAAGGGGTTAAAACATCAGTATTTCTACATTATTTAAGTTATCAAGTGGGTCCCGAGGGATGTCCTTAATGGATCTAACCCTAACCCTTAAAAAATTAAATAGCTTTAACCTACAGTGTGCTCCAAAATTCTAGAAAGAGTACAGGGTGTCCCAATAAACACAGGAATTATGTGACGACTTCAATTCTTTGTATCACACGGAAATATTTCGTAAACGCAATTTTAGTTAGGTCCCAGCCAAAACAATTATCATTTAAAGAAGGCAGCTCAACTTGTCTCTTAGTTCCTATGTTTTTTTGGACACTTTGGACAAGTTTTTCTGAGACGATTTCAAACTATTAGATTTTACCCCACAAGTGAAAAAAAGATCTAAGTTTTGAATTAAACTTTAAAGGAGGATTTGTAACTGGCAAGGCTGCCATTTTTCCCAGCATCATTTAAAAAAAACTTATTTGATGATACTGATCTGTGTACACTGCACAATTGCTGTGTTTCATTTTCATCCGACTATTTAAACTCATGATAGTCATGCTCCATGTTCCACAGTCTTATGGGTCCCACTGTGCGCTGGAATTCTGTAGAAATACTTATTTTAGGGATTTATTAATCTATTTAAAGGTCGAGTGTCTGGCTAGGCATGATAGTTAAGCTGAGAGTGCAGGATTGTAAAGATATTTTTTAGAAATCATTTGAGACCTATAAGACGTTTGTACGGTTTATAACTGCTAAGTAAGGGGCACAGAATCCTCCTGGCCCTCGCCTCCAGAGCCCAAAACTTAAGACAATATAGCGTTATGAAAACCAGTTTTAAAACCCGGGTTTCACGAATGGGGTCAGGCAGTTTTGTGAAAAACTTAAAGATTTTTGAATTGAAATATTATTTTTTTCAGTTTGTTTATATTCTCCATTTTTTTCTAATCTCTCAAATCAAAATCTACACAAATGTTAAGACCCCAAAAAGGAAACTCAGGAGTTTCGTTCAACGATACTCTTTTAAATTTTGGGCTCAGGATGGTTCTGGCTCGGCCTGCCAGACTCTCTCTCTAAATCTGAAAACTGTACACGATAAAATGTACAATTTATTATATGAACAACAGAGATCCCTAATTGTTATGTACATATAAGACCACCAATAAAGATAAAAACCCAGTGGCCTACTACCATGGCAAGTATACAGGATTTTAAGCGAGGGGGAGGGAAGTTATCTCTCGAAGCGAGGACGTTTTTTGTCGCCCCCCCCCCCGACGTTAAAAATTCTGTTATTTTAAATAAAGTCTACTACATGTCCCCTATGTAGCCCTTTGTAGTCCCCATTCAAGAAATATATATTCCTTAGTATAGTTCTGTATTAATCTCTAAAGTCTTTAGTATGGGTCATTTTTTACCTGATTTTAACTTTTTCCCATATATAAGGAGGTAATAGGACCACAGCAAAAACCTTTGAAATCTTTAACGAACGGATAAAGATTATAGCCATTCTTTAAAAAAAACGGTTTATTAAAAAGAAAGAACAGGTTGTTGTCGCTAAGGAACAAGATTCTGACGATGAACAGATAGACAAGGTATAACCCACAAATCAAAATCGATAATGCAGAAAACTCTTTATTTCCTAAAAAAAATAATGAAATGAATAATGATAAATAATTATTACAGGTTTACAAATTTATAATGAAAAGATTCTTACGATCTATTTGCCTATTTGGGGGTTATCTGTCGAAAAGTCCGAAGACGTTTTTTATACATTAAAGCTTCTGAAAATATTAACAATTAAATGTTGATGAAAGTCACTAATTCTTTAAATAGAAATATTCTTGTTTAACTTTGAAATGGTTCACAATTGATAAACGTTTATACTCCGTTATCGGAGAACAAAGAAGAAAAGCGGGCTGAAATTGTTTGGTTTGGTTTCTCGTCTCCGAGAGGAGCATTTAAGTTGAAGACGACATTACATAGAAGGGGGGGGGGTCCTAATGTTAATGGTTGACACAGGTGTGTTCAATATAACAGCGACTTTCATTAATTTTTCAACAAAAATCTCATGAAACCTACAGAAAATCAAAAATAAGTTATATGTATATTGATGTCTTTATATGTATGAAAATTTTCCCGCTATTTTAAGACATTAAAAAATCATTAACAGCTGTCGCCGCTCAGGATTAATTAAATATCTTCCGTTAAAGTTGCTAATAAAACTGAGATCGTTAACGAACGGAAACTTAAGAACGAAAAATATCTTTAACGAAGGGCTACATGAAAAGTTATCGGTTTCAGAAAAGTTTGAATGTGCCTAGTCCTACATTTAAGTGCGTTTAATTTTGCAACAGAGAAAATTGATAAATGTTGAACCCTCTTTTTGATTTTTTTTATAATTCATAAATGCGGAATAAGTCCTAGATACTAAATTTTACCTATTTTCCCGCCTCCCCTCATGTGCATATCGTTTGATGACACCGAAGAAATTTTTAAAAATCTTGTTGCTCCTCTAGACTTTTATAGAATGGGAATCACTAAATATCTGAACATAAAAACAGAAAAAAAATTCTAAAACAATGTGATTCACATTCTTTAATATTAGAATACAATGTACAGGGTTACTCAAGAAAGATGATACGATGATGACGACTTTAAGCTCCACAAAGAAGGGGATGAGGTCTTTCCAATGTAGATTAATGAATTGTCAATAATAAGTTTAAGAACAAGTTTAAAAACTAGTTTACAGTCGCAGAGAAAAGAAAGAAAAAAGCCTTTAAGGCACGTGGATTTAACAGTTCTGTTCTTATATCAGAAATCTGGAACTTTAATTTGATCTTTTAAACATAAATATTTCGCCTTTTTTATGAATACTTTTTTTTGTGGGCATTTGCGTTTTGAATGAAAAAGTATAAAACTCCAAAATTTTAAAGATTGTTGAATTATTGACCAAACTCGTTAGATTTAGAATAGCGAAAACCGAATGCATCTTACTCTGGTTTGTCCGGGGTGAATGGGGACTGTAGACCTAATGACAAGTGATATTTCATCGAAAGAGAAGCGTGTCAGATTCACAACAATATCCTTAACCTTGATATCAGATCTGATGTCGAGGTTATCGTCATTTCCTTCCTTGATGACAAATGCCATCAAATTAATTTTGGAACAGAAGTGCACAAGTTACTTTAAAGAATCTGCAATCAGGCTTTCAAAAAGGGAGGTCCTACAGGGTGTCTTAATAAACATGGGAATTTAGTGGCATTTTGGTATCATCTTTGTAAATTATTTTTTGATTTAGTTTGGCGATGCCAATTCTTTACACGGACAATTTCGAATTCGTCTCTTAATTCCCATGTTTACTGGGACAGTCTGTACTATCCACATTCCAAACTCGAACTGACTTTTCTAAATGAAAAGAATGAAGCAAGGCCATATAGCTTAACATGTATTAATGCAATGTTTTCTGATGTAGCCATTCGTTTCAATAATAAATTTTATCTTTTGTCCAATGCTTAATTTGTAATTGTATTTTTAACGATCTTAGAGCATTTGCTTGTTCAGATCATTGGTTGGTTGTTTTCCTCTGAAGTAGAGTAAAGTGCTCCTTCATAATTTACAACATTTTAACATGTTCATCAATCATACTAATTGTGCAAGTCACAATAGTAATACATATACATAAAAAATATCTTTAATCTAAAACTAAAGAAAAACTATGAATTCAAGAAAAATGTTAAAAAACAATATTTAAGACAACCTTGATTTTGAAAATATTATCAAATAAGTTTGTTGATAAATTGCAAGGATTAATAGAGATGTATAGTTTGCTGCAGTAAAAATCAATGATCTTAAAATCTAAGTTTAAGTTTATAGAGGAAATATTCAAAACATTCAATACCATTTTGAAATAATAATGTTAACAAAAACAATGTCAAAACACTTTTTAAATCTAACAAACGAACTAAGTTCTTAAATTTTCTATTCCATATGTTCGCAACTTTATGAAATAACCCTTGAAAGTTTTAAATATGATGGAGATCAAAATTTCGTAGTTCTAACAAATCAAGGTTTCTTTTGATCTTCAGAAGCTCACCAATAGATCTAAATGTAGAACAGGATTAGGAAGCATCAGCAGAACAGCCATCAGAAGCTTCAAAAATGCTACTAGGAGAATCAGTACTAATACCAGAAGCTTCAGGGCTGCTAACAGAAGTTTCAGTACTGCTACCAGAAGCTTCAGGACTGCTCTGCTAGCAGAAACTCTTAAGTACACAACCAGACGGAGCAGTACTTCTACAACCAACAGTTTGAGGACTGCTACCAGAAGTTTCAGTACTGATACCAGAAGCTTCAGGGCTGCTCTGATAGCAGAAACTCTGAAGGACACAACCAGACGCACCAGTACTTCCTGCAACCAACAGATTGAGGACTGCTACCAGAAGCTTCAGCACTGCTACCAGACGCACCAGGACGCCTACCAGAAGCTTCAAAACTGAGACGATGCTTCAGGACTGCTACCAGAAGCTTCAGGACTGCTACCAGAAGCATCAGGACTGCTACCAATATGACGGATGCTTTAGTTTAAAATTTAACTAATTTGGAGTCAGGAAGCAAGGCAGTTGACCTAGGGTTTTCAAACTTTGATACGATATGCCTGATTATTATTTAGTATAATACTTAAAACTTGAGAACCCTAATATTTACCTTTCAAAAGTTACCGCAAAAAATATACCCTATTTGAATATTATTAAGTATGCGCACATATTCATTTTTATATCTTCTACCTCTTTTCAATCGGACTTTAAAGTCATAAGGGGACAAAAGAAACTTTTTCATAAAAAATTTTAAAATATGCATTTTGTGCAATCATTGCTTCTACACATGACAACTTGTAGCTGTCCAATTTGAATCATGTCATTGAATGAAGTAAACTTTCATTTTATTATAATTATGCACATCAAATGTATAATCGTGGAAATGCACTTTGCTCGAAATATATATTTATTTTATGTTCGAGTATATAATTACAAAATGTTTGCTAATTAAGTAAGAAAACTAAGGAGATTTTAGTGCAAAGAAAACCCAGATTTGAAATTAATAAGCTTTTAAAGCTTTTAGGGTACCGCGACTGCCCTTTTAAGCATTACAAAATATTAACAAAACATAAGACAGATTTTTATTACAAATTTTAATCGCCCGGCGTTGCCCGTATTATCTAAACAATCGTCTAATAACTTTGTGGAAGAAAATGTATTGTAAAGAAGAAATGACCCCCCCCCCCCCAATCGTCTAATAACTCTGTGGAAGAAGAGTAAGACATATTGTAAAGAAAAGTCCCTCCCCCATCGTCTAATAACTTTGTGTAAGAAAACGTATTGTTAAGAAGAAATGCAGCCACCACACACACAAAGAATTTTTTAAAGAGGTCAACCAACTAACATTACTCCCCCTGTATTGGTTCATCAAAATCGCCCAATTTCCATGCTTATTAAGACTCACTGTATCACTGTGCACTAAACATGTTTAAATTCAGAAAAAAAGACAAAATTTACAAAAGTTTGGGTCACCCTACTGTGTGCACTGTGCAGGTAACTGTACAGGAATAGTGAGGAAACCCCAGGACGCCATGAGCCTCTGCTATGCAGACATCGAGCCTCCCAGATTCGCTATGCAGACCGAGCCTCCACTATGCAGACAAAGCCTACGCAATGCAGACCGTGCCTCCACCATACAGCACAGCTTTTTTTCAATTTTCATGAGTGATGAAAACTTTTAACAATTTTTTTTTGACGTAGCGTCATAAGAATTTTACTGAAGATTAGAGTTGTTCATTTATTTATGATTAGAAACATATATGGACTCATAAAGTGGTGTATAAGATTTATATTAGAACTTTAAACATTTCTTACGCAGAAAGGAAGATATTTGGAGAAATATTTCTGGAGTAAACTTGGTTTGTTTTGTTGTAATCTTTGATTTAAACAATACCTGTTTTTGAAAAATGTTAGGATTTAAATAATAAATACAAATTTTTAAATTTAATTTGAACTTCAAAAAAAGGTATCGCTAAAATCAAAGATTATAAAGGATGAAATGAAATTCAATTCAAATTTTTTTGTAAATATTTTCCTTGTTTTAGATACCACTTTATTAGTCATAATTAGGCACTATTTATGATAATTAATAAATACTTCTCATCTTTGAGAAGCCTCTCATGCCACTATGTCTAAAAATTTCAAAAAAATCTTTTATTTTTAAACTTAATTCACAAGTTTAAAAAAACCTCCTGTATTACACAGGCACATTTTGATGTGTTGCGCATGCTCATTTCTGCAAAGCGGAGGCTTGGTCTGCCTAGCAACTCTGGGAGGCTCGTGTCTGCATAGCGGAGGCTCATGGCGTCCGGGGGTTCCCTCCCTCACAGGGAACTGACCTAAGTTTGTGTCAAATCTTAAAATAGACTAGATAAGATAATATGAGTTGGGTTCTGATACCCTTTAGATCAGTTTCCATAACATCATCACTGTGACTGTTTATTATATAGTTTTATTTTGTTTAAAAGGCAATTAATTGAATAGAACTAAAATCACAGGAGTCAGTTAACTGAAATTTAATTGCAATGTGGCGGCAATATCTTAGGTATAATGCCGCCATGACAGTTTGTCCAAAAAATACTTCGAACCAATTTTAAATTATATAATAATCATCTGTTTGAGGAAAATTTTATTACAGTTAAACAACAAAAAATTATCAATCAATTGAATTGAACAATGCAAAAATTTATTTTATTAAACGAAACGATCACAAAATTTCACAACAATATTAAAATACATGAACAAAATTATCAGGTCTTTCTTAACGTTCTAAGCACATTTAATTTAAGATTTAATTAAAAAATAGGAATTTTTAAATCCTCGAATAAAATGAAAATTGATAGGAATATATATATATATATTATATATCGTTAAATAATAAAATTTGATAACTAAAAATTTAGTTAAAATTTGATAACTAAAAATTTAGTTGAAAAATCAAAAAAGTGATTTGTATCTCTCTTTCAAAGACTTAATCCAAACAATATACACATAAATGTTAAGAGTACACTGTACAGCTAAATTGTACAGTTTAAAATTTACAGATAATGTACAGTTAGTGGATTAGCGTCCAATCCCTGTATGAGCATATTGTACATAAAATGCTAGCTTCACTGACTCCACTAATCTAAAACCATATTTAAATATTTAAAATGGCGATATTCTCATGAAAAATTTAACTGTTTAACAAAAAATATATCAAAATTTCATGACTTTTAGTAACAAAAAGACCAATTTTTTTTCTTCAAGGCTTTACTATTTTAAGCTCAATTTTTTCTTTCTTTCAAAATTATGTACATTATTAACTATACACTATACAGAGTGTCCACGAAACATGACAGTTAGTGAATAGTTCTGAATGTCTTCTTTCATACACTGAATTACATATTGAAGATTTTTTGCTGTTTAATTCGTTAACAATTCTTGTACTCAAATCAATTTTACTTAAATATGACTACCATATAATATTTTTTTTTTATTCTCTTTGGCATCAAACAACTTAAAACAAATTATGGAAGAAGACGTTTTAACCCTTTTTACCAACTGCATGTTTCGTGGGACACCCTGTATATATAGTATCTAATTCAAACGAACCCATGCCATTTTATTCACTTGTTTAGTTGGAACTAGAAATTTATTTACATTGAATAACAAAAACATACAGAACCCCCCCCCCCCCAAACACACACGCACACAAAACCAGAGATCCCGGATCAGGATTAATAAGAAGATTACCTGCAGAGTAAATATGCTGTATTAAACTGTACTCTCCAATGATCTAATATCGTGGGAAGATTTAAAAGAAGAAATGCCATCCCATCAATCTAAAATATCATCGGTTAGCTTCAAATTGGTGAATAATGTGGACTTCATTCATATTTTGTTTTGTAAACCAATTAATAACTCTAATTCCCCCCCCCCCAAAAAAAAAATCAGAACACTGTTCTTAAATTTAAGATTTTTCTAAATAACTTTGCCAAAAATTACGATATAAATTAAGAACATTTTATATAATTAAGATTTTTAAGAACATAGTTTTTAGTAGAAATTTTTCTAAATGATATCTTTGTAATTTTTTTATTTAATTTAAAGGGAGTGACCGACGAGAACGGGGGTTGTCGAGGTGAAACCACAATAACGTAAATAAGTCTATGGACAACAAAAAAATGTTTTGAGGCAAAAAATGAGATAAGCCAAAAAAATGTTAGATTTCTTTTTTTTCGATGGCTGGTGCTCACAAAAAGTTAGTTCACAATTTCTCTAAATACGTTGGATTAGTAGGAAGACAGTATAGCATGCAACCTTCTGTGCATTCGATATTTTTAATGTTGTTAATATTAAAAAACTAATACTTAAAACGTAAAGTTAAGTTTTTAGCCAGTACCTTGCAAATCTATTTAAGTTAAATGAGTTTAGGTAAACGGAACAGTTTATATGTTAAATGTTCAATTTGATATCTAAAATCTACTATTTTTACTGTTCCATAGTTTTATGTGTACATTTATTGTTACAAAAATGTCTAAAAGTGTGGTATACACTATACAGTATACAAGTAGGCTAGACCATGCCCGTACAAATTATTATTCAAAATTTGCCCGGTCACAAAAATTCTGCATAAGACACTTGTTGAACCCTTCAGAGATAAGGACATCTTTATTTATATCTGTGATTACAACATTTCAGATCTGGGGTTTGAGAACAACTTATATTATGCAGTTTTTATGATAATTTGCCCCTTGGATCCAGGAAGCTAAAATGATCCGCATCCCAAGCACTGGTTTACCTGTTCCTGTTTCATAACAGAAGCTAGAGCAGCAATCTCAACTTCTCTTTGACTAGAGATAAACTCCTGAACATCTCTTGGAGTCCACTGTACAGGGTTCGAACTTAACAAACATGACAATATTTTGGTTAAATGCTGATTTTGGATTTAAATTTATATTTACAACGGGAACATTAAAACCGTGGAAAAGGAAAACGACATATAGCATTATTGGATGTATTTGCGGTGTTTTTAATTTTAACTGGACTTGCCATAAAATCAAAATTTTACAAAGCCCGCGATTTCCAAAATTCGGGAAAACAAGTGACAGGCCTAATCTGTCATTGAGACTAAATTAAGAATCGAGCTTTCGGATTTAAGTTGCAATATTGTATTTTGCGGACTTTCATGGTTGGAATTTGCGTGAGACACCCTGTTATTTATAAATTAGGTCTAAAATTGAGTCTTAAACCAGGGTATAAGGAATTTGGCCGAAACATTTCAATTGCGGACTCAGCTTTATTTAAACTCGATAGCTTGTGGGTCTCAAGTATAGTATGGTATAATATGTTTTAGTTTTACCTTAATGTTATCTTAGCTACGGGCGGAGGTTCAGCCATTAATGGCGGCGGTATAGGTAAATCAGCAAATGCAAAAGCTGCCTCAAGTTCAAGGTTGGACAGCGGCTCCGGCTCCGTTGCAGACTGTCCTCCACCAGACGTTCTGGAACGGAGTAGTTTAGGTGACGGAGCCCGAAGGGGCTGAGGAGAGGATTCTCTGAGAGATTCTTCAATAAATTCCTCCATCTCTTCCATCTCCCGGAGGGTTGGTTTAACCTTGAGCTGGAGGGAGGTTCCGTTCTCGTCGCAGAACCGTTGACGTTTCAGTGGTGTCAAGGCGTCCCTGTCTGGGGAAGTTTCGCGGCTTGGTTCGCGTGTAGTGGCGTATGATGGGGTGGCAGACGTATCATCACTGCTAGACTCATCTCTATTCTCTTCAGTTCCATTAGTATCCGCTTCCCCCGCTCTTTTCCACTTCCTCTTCCCTTTCCGCCGTTTAGAACCTCTTGACCGATCCATTTGAAACTCATGCTTTGGTCGACTCTGACATGCGGAGGGACATTCGCCGCCAACATTTACCGGACCAAAGAGGTAGGGACAACATTCCAACTTCTGGCAGATTTCTCTACAGAATCCTGGAACCTGCTCCGCCTTGCTTGGCACCTCCACCTCCCCCTGGAGTAGGAGTACACGACTCTTCCCCTTCATTCTCTCCGACCAGTAGTCCGGCCTCCTCACCTCGCCAACCTCTAGTTTCTTCAGAATAGATCCAGACTTAAAGGACGAGGCTATGAGCCGAGAAATGACCTCTCTCATAACCAGGCGGACAGGACCTGGTCCAATAAATCGAGGCAGGGCTTCAAGCCGGGGGCGCCGTATAAACGAGGCGGAGTAGCAGAGATGATTGAAGTAGATGGGCGGACACCAGAACCCAGATAAGGAAGGTTTGGCGGAGGGTTCGGAAGACAGATCTTGGTTTGCTGGGAGAATTGGCAGACTAGATTCCTCTGGTATCTCCGGTATACTCGGAGGTAGCGCAGGAGAAGGAGGAGGTATAAGAGGAGGAGGAGTAAGCTCAATATTGTTGGTTTGACACCAACCTACAGGAAACATATTTAGGTTTCGTTGACTCACCAATATATTAGGGGTTCCAGAACCATCCAGAACCTAGAAAACAAAGCTTTATTGAAGAACCAAGGCCATGTGATCATGAAATTTTAAAATATCAGAGGTCGGAGTATAATTAATCTTTAACGCATGATCTCGATATCCCTTGATGGTATTTGAGATAAAATGTTTTTTCTATAGTGTGTGACCACCACAGGATATCTGAAGAGGAATTCAATTAATCCTTATGTCTGCATAAGACTAAGATCAATGCTTGTACCCGAGATTAACAGAAAAGTTCTGACTTCTGATAAATTAATGATAAAAGTTTTTTAACGAGATATATTTGGCAAAAAGAGATAATTTTTTTTTGTCCTAATTGCTGAATATTACAAAGTTTAGTTTTATGAACCTGAATACGGAGAATGTGTTCGATAACACTGAGAACAACACCAAGATGGAATGTAAGACTCTCAGGGTTAGATAAATACTCAAACCTAGAAAACAGGTTAAATAAAATGTATCAACGAATTAACCAATTAACCAATTAACAAACCAATTAACAAACCAACCAACCAACCTACCAACGGCTCAGTTTCATTTGCCATAATATTTTTGCCATAATTACACTTGACATAATACTTTTGCCATAAGTAACACTTGCCATAAGTTACACTTGACATAATTCACACTTGCCATAAGTTACACTTGCCATAATGGTTACACTTACCATAGTTACACTTGCTATAATTACTTTTGTCATAATTTTCTAATTTTAAAAAGATGTAAATCAGTCTTTTTTATTGTAAATGGGGGAAATCTTCCAATGAAAATTACCAACTTTAGTTTTCTCATTGTTTTAAAACAGATTCAGCTCCATATTTTCTAGAGCTGAAAGAAAGAGCTTGATGAAGAGTCACTATGAGATGATTGCTAACATTGTCCTACAGTATAATACTCTTCCCATAGAAGAGTACCTAAACCTGATAGCTCATGAATTAATTCAAACCAAATTTGATTTGAATTATGGCAAGAGTAATTATAGCAAGTGTAATTATGGCAAGTGTAACCATTATGGTAAGTGTAACTTATGGCAAGTGTGACTTATGGCAAGTGTTACTTATGGCAAATGTATTATGGCAAATGTAATTATGGCAAAAATATAATGGCAAATGAAACTGAGCCCCTACCAACCAACCAAGCAAACAGGCATTCAACTAACTAGCTAACAAATTAAACAGACAGTCAAAATATCATCCAACAAAACAAGCATTCAACAATCACTAAGCAGCCAATCAATTACGAAACTTATCAACTAAGCAACCAACCAACCAGCCAATCATTCTATCAACCAAGCAACCAGACAAACCAAACACTAGTCAATCAATTGCGCAATCAATCAACCAAGCAATTAAGTAACAACAGTTTGAAGGAAATATAAATAATTCCAATCAAATAAATCAATTATTATTGACACTTCTAATTAATTCTTGACTGGCTTCCGTATTTCCGTATTAGCACTAAATATAAATCTAACCTGTCCCCGACTTTAAAGCTAGCAGACCCTGTAGTTTCTGGCTTATTATGAAACAATGGTTTAGGAGCAATCTTACTCTGTGGACTACACGGCATATCCTGATAATCATTAATACAACATTTATTTTAGGATTACAATATCAATTATAAAAGACAAAGGACAACGAAACGAAAATTTTATTTGAAATGAGGAGGGTAAACTTATTATTAAAAGAGAGTATGGCATTTTCTTCCACTTTTTTGCATGAGATGAGTGTGGCCGTTTCTATTCAAGAGAGTAAAGAATGTGGATGTTTCCCAGCATGAGTGGACTTTTCCTAACACGGGAGGGAGACAGGACTTTTCTTTTCAAGGGAATACATTTCCTTTATAGGAAATACATAAGACTAACTACAATATATCCACTCCCCTTAACTCTGGTGTTCAGCATCAATTCAACTCATTTGCTGCATCTCATCCCCCATCGCAGTGGTAAAAATAGAAAATTAGCCAAGTAAATGTGTTTTTATGTTTTTAATTCTAAAATGTATTATTAAAGGCCGAAGAAGCAAAAAAGTTATTTCCTCTCAAATGTTCTCTTCCTTTCAAATTATGAATAACATGTTATTCGAGACATTTATAATTCATAATGTATTTTTTTTTAATCAAAATATATTAATAAAAATTGGCAAGTTTCATAACATTACTTTTGATGTCTAACATTGAGTTGAACTGGTTAAATGTGATGAACTGTCGCATGGGGGATGAACAGATGAACGACACCGGCTTGATTACTGATAACGGTTACCTGCAATGATTTCTTGTCCAGCAATCCATGTTTGATTGCCCAAGGAATAGAACTTATCTCATCAGTTTCACAACTACAGATCAATCCGGTACTTGACTCTTCTACATTTAATCAAACAGTTAGTCACGTCACGTCACGTCACGTCACGTCACGTCACGTCATATTTTTAGTTGCAAACCAAATAACTGAGGGGGATTGTGGACGCGATATGCAATTAAAAAATTCCCAAAGAACATGATCACCTAATAATGAAATCCTGAAGTAGAACTGATCAAACACTTTCTCCACAATTGCAACTCGAAACCGGTTCCGGGTTCTGCACAGTACACACTAGCTTATTACAGTGTACAATTCAAAGAAGTAGACTATGAAGTTTCGTTACAAAATGCTCTGATGTGCACAAGGTCAGCTTTATAAAAAGTTGAAATTGAAATTGTGATTAATTAATTTCAAAATAATAATCGTACGAGCCATGTCAACAATTGTTGTTACTGTTTAAAAAATTACGTATTTCCTGAGCTGTCCTGATTTCTTACATCTATCTGACCAAAAGAGCATAAGGAAGTGAATCGTTATTCATTAAAAATAGTGAGTAATATAATGTAAAATGCGGAACCATGTTTCAAAGTTTGTCACGTGACATAATTTTTTTGTTAAATAATCATTATGTAAGGTTTAGCTACTATTCCTAGGATCTTGAAACAGCAACAGGATGGATTCTTTAATAAAATGAAAATACCATGGAAGTAAAAACAAAAATACAACTTTTTCAATGAAAAAAACTGAATTTTTCGTTATATAAATCTTAGAGATATGAACGTGGATAAGGTTGAGCTAGGGTTCCTAGGATCTATAACTGCTAGAAGCATCTTCTCTAGGAATGAATGAGATCTAGGACTCCTGGATTCAAGTTTAATACAATCCTCATTTATCACACGACCATCCCTGCAGGCAAAAATAATTATTTTGTCGAAAATATTTCCCAAACATCTCTTTCTTGATCATTTGAGAATTGTTCAGTTGTGTTTAACTGCTTTTGTTTGTTTAACGACTCCTTGTTTAAAAGGTAAACTGTTCCTAAGTCTTCAACTGTTCCTTAATGTACAATATTTTCAAAAATGTTCTATTGTTTCAACGGATCCTAAGTGTTCAACGGATCCTAAGAGTTCAACTGTTTCTAAATGATCACTGTCAACTATTTTTGGATGTTCAATTGTTTTTAAATGTTTGATTGCTCTTAAATGATCAATTGTTCTCAGATGTTTCATTGTTCTTAAATGTTCATCAGTTCCTAATTGTTAAAAATGTGTTGAGCTAAGATTGCTCATAGTCAAGCATTTTTTGTTAAGGACTATGGAACAGTGTTGAGAGGAAACCATGCCACCACAGATGTGATCCTGCTGGCATTATTTGTTTATTATGTATTGTTCCAATCTTTGTATGAGAATCATATCTGAAATGTTTACCATTTCAGATATTATACAATGAGCTTGGACTCCATTGATTATATAAATTGCCAATAGAACCACCATGAAAGCATCTTTATCATTTATTTATATTTTGTTCTTTGTTGATATTTAGATTGATCTGGAATATGATAATCTTATGAGGAAAAAAATGTAATAATGGAAATTCTTAAACGAGATGAAATAATCTTGATACATTCTTTAACGAAGGCCGCATCATCGAGTTTAAGAATTCCATTATTACATTTTTTTCCTCATAAGATTAATATTATATCATAATTGTGAGGTTTCATGAGCACATACCCTATTGAATTTAACTAATTGTTTTTTTTTTTTTCAGGTGAATTATGAATATTTCAAGTTGGAAGAACTGACAATAAAAAGCGTTGTGAACAAGTTTTCGTATTTAAGTTTAACCTCTTTCTTGATTGTCTCTGTCCTTTTATTTTATTTTTTTTTATTTTATTTTTCATTTGATTTAACGTTACATATTGCATGTCGTGTCATTGTTTAGTTAGTTTTGTTAGTTTTGGTTTCTATTTTGTAATGCACGTTTGTAGCTAGATTGTCATTTCCAATAATTACTATATTCAGATCTAGCATGCCAAGAAATGTGCCGTTAAGTGTTTTAGACGAGGAGAAGATAGAGAGTGGGGGTGGATTAGCCAAAGCGACAGAACGGGATCGAGAGATAATTTACAAACAGTTCATATCCTGGGTTTCAGATCAAACTAAGGAGAACAGAGATATTTCTCTCTATGATGATACAGATTTAGAAAGATTCGTTTGGACTTTCTTTTTCACAATGCGTGTTACTCCTAAGGTTTGTTTTATAAGATGAATGTTATACGTTATATAACACCCCCCCCCCTGTCACCCATGAGTGTCCACAAAAACATTTCAGCCCACTGGATCCGGCATATATATGAAAGTCTTCCTTTATTATATAGAATGTACATTGTACAACCAATATTTGAATACTGTATTTAATTTAATTTAGGGGAAGTTTGTTAGAAATGAGAAAGTAGGCCGGCCAAAATTGAATACCGCACTGAAGCATTTTTCTCAACTGAAGATGTGTCTGAAAATGAAGTATGTATATTTATTTACAATATTAAAATTGTTCCTTCTGAACCGTGTAATAATGGGAATTCTTACACGATAGGTTTACTACTATGAAACCGAACAGATATGATATAATAAGTATTCTATATTGACATTGATAGATGCTTGTACCAGACTTTCAATCTGTACAAGACCTGTCTCAGCGGGCACAAGATCTTACGTGTTATCTGTTGCAGATAAAATACATGAGGTCTCAGATTAGAACCGGGCGTTCTATAAGTGTGGAGAATAGGGGCGTGGCCAATATGCCTCGATCAAGCAAATCCTAAGGTTCTTAGATCAACAAAATGGTTTAACTGACATTATTTGTTCAATGGATTTTAAATGTTAAAATGTTATTAAATGTTTAGTTGGTCCTAAATGTTTTAAGTGCAATTGTTCCTATAAGTTTAATTGTTCTTTATTGCTAAATAATGTTTAAATGTTAATGAAATATAATTAATACTATATTGATATTTGTGAGGGTTCATTCAAGAAAGAACGAATATGATTTATAAATAATTTTGTAAGGCATTGAAATTCAAAACTCTCCTTTTGAATGGTGTAAAAATGGTAATCCTTACATATCTTTACAGTAGTGAAACCCTTAAACTGGAAAATGACTGTTAGGACTGAAGTTATGATTTTAAATAGATGAGTGAACATAAAACAAAATTGTGTAGTGTGCTAAAACATCGAATACACATAACAATGCTTAAATATTGTCTTCCTATTCCACAGTTGTATTTAACTCACTGTACTAGATATAAAATAATAATGTTTCTGCTACCTAAAAGAAGCTTTAAGAAGTTTCCAAACAGGTTCAGGATATCCATTCTCCTTTAACTTCTCAGGAACCTGAAAATAACACTTCGATCATATCAAATCCATGATCCAATCCGACCATAGTAATAAATTGATGAAATAACAAGAGTATCGTATTAATATAAACCCAACCAAACTTTTGAAAAATAAATGATTTCAAAGGGAGAAGGGGGGGGGGGGGGAAA